CCATGTACAAAGTCTGCAAAACTGGATGAATTTTAGTCATTCATTCGCGTCTGCATTGTTTAGTGACCATTCCATTGTTCGGTGATCATGGGCCGATCATGGGTTTTCGTTTGGCAGGACGGGTGTGAATATTCAAGGTCGCGGCTGCTTGGTCCTGCCCAAGCCGGTCGCCCTGGGGGAGGCGAGCTCTGGCCGGTGTAGGTGGCATTGGTGGAAACGACTCAAGCTTCATGGATCCTGGGGTCCTTCCTTTAAGAGGCACCCCACATGAGGTGGTGCTCCAAACACCTGTATCAAGTCCATCCTCCATTTCCATTTCGGATGGAGCCCTGGTCCACCAGGGCCATGCGAGTTGGAGCTTTCCAGTGACTTCCAGGTGTCCTCGTGCCATTGACCCAAAGCCCCATCACTTCCATGGCTCCCGGGCGGGGCCGTCAGGAGTGGACGATTTCTGTTTGGACGCTGGGCCCCATCGATGTGGGCGACCACACCTACAGGGACCTGGTAGGCAGGGCTAGTTCGAACATGCCGGAACTTCGTTCAGCCCATTGGTGAAACATCTCACTGGCTGTGGGGCAAACAGTTCATGTTGAGTGAAGGTAGTGTTTGCATCAGTGTCTCAGTCTTCACGGTCTTTTTCGCCTTGGTGGTACAATATCAGCCCCAAAACAGACGTGCAAAATGCCAAGGGATGACAGTTCCGATTCTCTTCTCGTGTGGAACAGATGGGGATGTTGTCTCGACCGATCTGATCCCCTCCTCTCGGGTCCTCCGCGGGACCACAGATTCCATGAACTCCCAAGAGCGCATCGCCGTGATCCTGGCGCGTGGACGCTTGGGGTGCCCTGGAGACCAAAGGATGCAGAGACAAGTCGCATTGTACACACACATAGTCACACATATTAGCATATATTGAAATGTATAATACTCATACTTATACGACTGTATGTATAATCCGGTCCACCTAATAAAAAACACGAGGGCCCCCCCCTAATAAGGAAACCTCGGTCGCATTTTTTTTAATAGGGGGTCCCTGAAATCGGGGGGTGTAAAATAGGTCACCTGGGAAGAGCTTCAAAACCAAAAAGTAAATCAGTAAAATTTTATATAAAATCATTTAATATTAAACTCGTATCAAAAAAATGCAAAAAGCTCCAGATCGAAGGGTCTTCCTTTTCCCCTACAAAAACCTTCATTAGAATAGTGATTCTTCAGTAGACTAACAGCTAAAGCTTTCGAAAGGTGATGTCGCTGTGCCATGCGGTGTTGCATGACCTCGGTGGCAAGTGCGTTTGCGTGAGTCCGTGCCATTGGGGGAAGGAAAGCCTGCTGGTGTAAGCGCGGCGTGTCATGGTGGATAGACAGGGCGGACAGAGGTGGGCAGTTATGGTTGTTTTTGGAACCTAATTTTAAAAAAACTCCTCCAAAGTCGGCAATGTTGGTAGTTTAGTAGCGGCTTGAAAGGGCGGTAATTTAAAAACAAATATAAACCGTATTTAGGGGTTTCCGACATGACTTTTTTCTAATAGGGGTCCGTTTTTTAATAGGTACTCAGGATTATATACATATGTGTGTGTGTACGCATGCATGATGCTTTCTTCCGGATTCAGTACCTGGAGGCGAGTGTAGTAGAAGCTCACATCAGGAAACATGAAACCATCTGGAAACAGGACACATGTGGAGCAACACCCTGTAACTGTAACTTTAATTCAAGGGTGGTTATTGCACTTTGCTTGACTCATTGCTAAGGAACTACAATAGCAACTCCTTCATTGAGGGCTTCAATGCGCGTGACTTGACCTCGGGCTGGCATCACATTGCCGTTGTGGGCCAGACACGGTGCACCACGTGCGCCGCAACCAGTGTTGAGCGGCCGGAGATGTAGACAACGCCATACAAGAATCAAGACGAGAACATAAGAGAACTACAGGATTGACAGACAGTTGCAGTGGTGAAGAACCAAGGAATACGTCTGAATCTAAGAGCTCAAGAGCTCCACAAGCTCCACGCCAGAACTGTTTGCAGCATTGCTGTGCTGTTTTTTTTCTCCTTGGGCCTACGTGGAGGTACTACGTGGACGGTCAGAGCCTGGGCACGAAACGAGGTCGTGCCCGGGGCGCCATCGGTGTGGTCGGCAACTCCAGGGGCTGCAACGTCGCTTGAGCTGCAGCCGATGGTCCGCGCGTACTCGCGTGAGCGCGGAGCGAGTAGCGAGCAGCGAGCGCGGTATGACATGTTCGAACTGACATGAGCTGACAACTTTGGCCAAACGTCGCGATACCCTGAAGATGTTCCGGGGAGAGAAGGGCCGATCGTTGTTTTGGGGAGGAGAAACTCCCATGTTTCCCCACATTTTCCTACTCACGGGATGATGGGCATTTCTTCATGACGCGTCAGTCCTAAATTGGTTCGCACCTCAGGAGTCTTGGGGCTACATGTCGGACTTCCAGATCTTTGGCGTGGCGGCCAGTGACGCACAGATCAAAAACATCTACGAAGCAGGAGGCGCGCAGACTGTAGAGCGGATAGATGCGGATAGTATGCAGCTAGATTACGCTTGACCTGGTCAAGTTTGTACTTTTTGATGTACCAGGTTGGAGCCCATCGGATTGAATTTGTGCAAGTATTTGAGTGGAAAGATCTACTGCAGTGTGACTGGATTTCAAGTAGAACTTCAACCCAGAATGCTCAGTTTTGGAGGGTTCTGATTCCAAGTTTTTTGTTTCCACTGTATGCCTTTTGCGTCCTTTTCCCAGCACCTTCAACGCCGGACACCAATGCGGAGCCGTGGCAAGTTGCTGTGGCAAGGCGGCGAGTGTGGGTGTTCTTTTTTTCAGTGAATTCAGCTATCCCAACAGACTGACTAGTGAAATTTAGTTGATTGATGTTGATTGTTGATGTTCTCCTTTTACGTGGGCTTTTGAAAGCAGAGTTTTGCAGTCCCAGCTCGTTTGTTTCAGCTTGGAGGGCTGGTGGGGTAGATGGGCTAATAGATGTCTATAGTCTATATAGGCATCTATAGGCAAATATGTGTCTCCAAAGTTTTGAGGTGTGGTCGTGGCAAAGATCATCGTGTCGACCGCCAGGCAGAATTCCGACTTATCTTCTCCCAGCCTGAGTGACTTCTCCGACTCGGATTCCTCCGCGCGCTCGTTCCCCTGAGAGAACTCCACTGTCAGGGTTGGTCCGGCCACCAAAGGTGCGGACGCGCCCAATGACCCGAGGCAAAAAGATGGGCCTGACGAGGAACTGTTGCCTTTGATCTGTTTTCCGTGGTTGAAGTAGCGCTACAAGATATTACAAGATATTCAAGGTCGAGGAATACGGTCTATTTGCAGCCTGTGCCATCAATGAATCAAGACCGTGTGACGCAAGCCAGCCGTGGATCAGAGATGTGTCTAACATTTTCTAACATGGACAGGTGAGTTGGAACCTTGAAGCAGCCCCACACATGGGGTATATAATCCAGCACGGAATTACTCCTTTCAACTCTTTGTTGGCGGGCATGGTTAGAAGGGGTGTTCGAGTGTGTGTTGCCAATCCTTCAATTTTGACCAATGCGAAAGCCAGAGCTAAAGCCATATCGTCCCCGAAGTGGATGTTAATTATAGCCACCATTGGAGCCGCATGCGGGTCCGTAGCTTACTCTTGAAGTGAGAAAGACTGTATGTCAGTGATTGCAAGGCAAGCGGTTCAATATTCACGGCCGGCGAGCTGGGCTGTACAGTTCGCTCAGAGGCGTTTGAAAAAAAGGCCTGTGGCAAGGCTTGAGACCAGCCGATGCCAACGGTTGATCGATGGATGGACATGTAACATGCCGGACGTAGAAGCAATGCAAAGAGCTTTGTTGGTCTGGAAGGTCATTGCGGCGCTCATGCCCCCCAAAAAACCAGAACCTCTCATGCGTGGTGTCAACATGTGTCAACCCCTATCGTTGTTGGTGTCACTTGCCTCCCCAGATGGATGACTCCCTTTTTGTGTGCGAGGCTGACTTCGTTGGACTGAGCGAACGGGGTTAATTACTCGGAGGTGTGGCCAGTCTGGAAGCAGCAAGATGCCGAGAAAGATGGAGAAAGGATGCACCCTGGAAGATTTAACGCGGAACCTGAAAACCACTAGGTTGTAAAGGAACATCGTCTTCCAGTTTGGTCCATGTCATCAGGTCCTCTTCCCGAGTGTATGCCAGTAGTTGTTTCTGCAAAGGTGCCTTGGAATGGTCTGAATGGAATGTCAGAGACGGCCTGGGAGCCCTTGGGGGCCCAAAGGTCTGGGTCCGACCTGATGAAGCAGCAAACTAAGCAGCTGAACGGCTTCAGTTCCACCAAACATCGGATGCAGCACCATGATACCTAAAAGCCATCATTTTGACACTTACTTTTATGTGTAGAAATGATGCACAGTGAGAGAATGATCATTTTCAGAGGTCAACGGCAGTTGTTGTTGAAAGCTCACTTTCACCGGCATAGCTATACATAGAAGTCCCGTGTTTAGTTGAGAGAGCTGCCAGGCGCTGTGTTGCGCGTGTGTGCTCGCAACACGCCTACCGATGCGTAGGCCGAAAAGAGATGTGCATTGGGCGTTTGCAAGATGTGCGAGAGAGATTGTAAACGTCGATGTGACATCCGTCGATGCAAGAAATCCACAGATCCCCTGCGGAATCCTGGTTTTTCGTTTTTGTGGAACATCCATGGAACTTCCTGCCACACCTGGAATAAATCCATCCAAATCCTGTAATTGTCGGATATGCTTTGTCTTTGGCCATTTGTGCATGTTCTTCCCAGCCGCAGAAGGTGCGTCCATTTCCCGCATCAAGTGCTTACAGCATGTACGCTGTGCATTGGGTGGCCTCATCGAAGCTGTCAAAGCATCATCAACAGAAACTTCCATGTGGATGAGGTTCTTTAAGAACCACTTCTTTCCCCGGTCTTTGTTAGAACCACTTGTTGAAATGGTCCGCATGCCATACCCACTTCTCTCCACAGATCAGAGCTGTTTCGGCCATGGCGCCGCCCCCTGGGCCAGGCGATCCGCAGGACCCACCCGCGCGGCGTCGCGTCTGCAAAGCGTCGTGTCTCCGCGGCGCCAGGAGGCCACGAGCGGAGATGAGTTGAGGGAGTCGAGAAAGGCCACGAGGGAGTCAAGAGAAGCGAAGAGTCCCAGGTGCATCGCTACTAGTAACATCTAGTAACAAGTGCGTTATGAGGAACAGTGGCTATACTAGTAACAAGAGTTCCAAGAGTTTGTTCCCCACCTGTCAGCTGAAGGTTTTTAAGTTTTATGTCAGCTGCCTTCCTCCTCCGCCTCCGCCTTTGCGTCCTCCTCCGCCCCGTCCTCAACCGCCAGCTCTGGATGGCAGTGTTCCCTGCCGGACCTCAACCGCCGGACCTCAACCACGAGTTCCGCTTGGCGTTCCCCGCCGGACCTCAAACGCCAGCTCTTGTAGCACGAATGTTAGTCACATCTGGCAAGTGCGACTCTGTGCGCCAGCCCTGATGTTTCACAATACCAACATTTTGCGATATAAGACAAGAGTTTACTCTACTTGGAGTGGTCCCCACCAAGACACTTCAATCTCTTGTCTTCCTGCCACGGTGAGGAGCATGTTGCCATGGTTGTGAGTCTTATGGTTCTCGATTTTGCTTGTGGATCCTCGGGTTGTGTGCTGTGGCTGTGTGTCGTGGTTGTGTGTTGTGGTTGTGCGCTGTGGTTGTGTGTGTGTCGTGGCTGTGTGCTGTGGTTGTGTGTTGTGGCTGTGTCTTTGTGGCTGTGTGTTGCGGTTGTGTCTGTGGTTGCGTGCTTGTGACTTTGTTTTTGGCTGCGTGTTTGTGATTGTCCGTTTGTGGATGTGTTTGTGGCAGTGTGTTTGTTATTGTGTGTTTGTGTTTGTGTTTGGGATTGTGTGTTTTTAGTTGCGTCTGTGTCTGTGTGTTGGTTCAGGTGCAGCAGCGCCCAGTGCACTCGGGAGCTGACGGTTGAGGTCCGGCAGGGAACACTGCCAAGCGGAACTCGGTCCGGCGGGGAAGACTGCCGCACGGACCTTGCGGTTGAGGTGAGGCGGAGGCGGGCGAGCCGGGCGAGGCAGCTGACATAAAAATCTAACAGCCGTATACAGCCGTCACCTGACACTTGGCGAAAAACAAAGTGGGGCCTGATTACGTGCATTACTTTCATGTTATGATGCATTGAAATGTCATGGTGGGGATCTCTCGAAGTTAAGTAATTGAAGTGTTTTTGGACCCAAATTTAAGGCGCATTGTGAACGCACCGGTAGCCTTGGTTGTGCTTTGCGGTGGCCTTCTTCGACCCAAGCGGCCAGTGACACATTGGAGCCCCAGCAGCCAGGCTCGGATGGAAGCTCTTTGCGCCAAGCTCACGATGAAAGCCAAGAAGGAGTGCTACTCAGCCTTCATCCGTTCCCAGCGTCCCCGGAACGTCTTTTATTTTTTCCCGGTCCACATTTCAGAGCTGAAATCGATAGAGGCTAAGGCACCGCAGGGCACACCGAAAAGACCTGGAGAGTGTTTTCTCGGATGGTGCCAGGCGCATCAAGAACGAGCCGACGAACGCGACCGCACGACGGAGCGCTGGAGCGGGTTGGGCACCCGGAAAGCGATGAACGTTCCGCAGATCGACGGGAAAGGACACTGGCAGATTTGCATTGGGGTAGTTGAACATTTTAAGGGCGGTCAATGGCAAGGATATGCAAGGATATATATACATACATACATATATATATATATATTATGGCACTCCATACATCAAGCCAATCCAATGTGTGATATGGATCGATGTGGAAACCTGGAATCATCATCAGTCACCTGAAGAACTGCCAACCGACCCGGAGAACGACCGCGAAAAAGGTCAAGGAACCATCCGGGTGCATCCAATCCGTTTCTTGTTTGTTTCCAAGGCTTCGAATTGTGGACCGCTGCATTCGGCAGGTGCGGAACCTTTCACAGTTTGGTGTGTAAGGGGCGCATTGACTTTCACAGCAAGTGCCAATGAAGGTTGCGATCCACAAATGCCATGATATTACATGCGGTATCATGTGATAGTAACTAATCCATACTAATCCAAAACCTGACGCTCAATTCCAGCAGGAGAAGTGGGACGCATCCATGCGGGGAAAGGACGGGTGTCCTAACATGGTGCAGGTCGGGCGCCAGAGAAATCAAATGATGCACAGTTCCCATAGTCACGGCTCAGGGGGATAGCAATCAGGGGCGGATGGGACCGCTTCAGGTCGATCTGCATTTGGGACAACAAACCGATCTGTCTACATGTGGACAGTGCTCTTCGACCCTGAAATCCGCTGAAAGGTACCACCCATTCCGTGGAGGGCTCCAACGGGGCCATTCATCGGTCTCGGTGATCGCCCCGTAGGACTTGGTTCCGATTCAGCACTTGGGAGGACTGTCGGCTCCTGAGGGATTGCTGCCATGTGCGAGAGGTCCCAGCGCGGGACCCTTCCGATGACCTGTTCGCTTTGGCAATGACCAGAGAATTCGAGTTCTTTCTCTTTGCAGTTTCGACATGTTGCCCCAACATCCTGAAAGTACCTACCAATGCCAAGTAGGAGGACCCCAACGGCCTCGCAATGCCTCGCATGTTAAAAAATGTTTATTTGATTCGGTGTCCATGAAGCTGGCTGCCGAATCTTGTTGTCCAGGTTGCGGAAAGGCAAAGACAAGGCCATGCGAATGAGCAAATCATCCGTATGGAATGCCAAAGATCTGCAAAGAACATATATTCAGCGAGCACTCCATTTACCACTCACGGGAGGTTCTTCCACAACCCTGTGCACAAGTTCGAGCAATCATATTCGGTCCCCACCCAGATACTCCCTTCAGCACGTTTTCGTCCTTTTCCCGACGCGTGTGTGGTTGGCGTGTGTGGAATGCTGAGCAACCCACGCCTTCGGCTGTCTCCCACTGCCAGGTCGTCATTGGAGTCCTGTGCGGGATTGGCAAAGTCTCCACAGATACGGTCTCCAACACCACATTTAGCGCCCCTTGGTTGCAGCGATTGTCATTGAACATTTACAGATTGTTGACTCATGTTCGAACAATTCCCTGTAAGTAAGTGAGTTAACGGTGCAAGACCATCCAATGAATGCATGGTCCTTTTTGACAAGGTTCGATTGTGATTGATCCATGTTGAGTTATAAATGCACATAAGAATACATAAGATGTATTTCCCTGTGAAATCCCAGGAGCCTAAAACACTACAGAGAGTTCTGGTCTTCGCAAGCAGCAAGCTGATCCACCAGTAGTCAGCCCGTGTAGTCACTGATGATGTGTTTAAACCGTGTAGCAGTGATGAAGGCAATGACTGGCCGCCTCGCCTGCCTCGAATTGATCGTTTCGCTTGCAACCGACCGAACTGGGCGGATTTGGATCTCAGGAGTGGAAGCTGACCGATTTGGACCTGGACTCCCCTGCTGAGGTGCCCCACCTGTAGCACCTGGCGCAGGGCGGTGCCCTGCGACGTGGCGTCATGCGGCGTCACGCGGCATTTTGGCTGCCGACTTGTCGATGTCCATGAGTCAATGAGGGTGTTGTGGTTTCACGCTGGAACGAATCCACGTCTCCTTCCAACCACACAGTGTTATATAATCGGTTCTGTTTAATGCGGAGCTTTCCCAACTTCACAGTCCTGTTCTGCCAGAAAAGCCACTACTACCTATAGTGAACAAGTGGAAGAAGCGACCGAAGAGACCAACATTTAGATCACATACAAATTTCCACCTGGGAGAATTTCCGTCTCCACTTTGTCAGACATCCATGTCTCATTATTTAGAATCACCAGTGGAGCTGCAGATGTAGAGGCTACCATCAGTGGAGCTGCACATGTCAGCCACAGATGCCCAGACGACCTGTGATGCCCATAGACGGGAGAGAGAAGAGAGAGTTTCGGAACTTTGGAGTCTACAGTGGTTTAGTTCTACAGGGCAAAAACCAGTGGTTTCAGAGTAGTATGGCACAAGCTACCCCAGTTCGGTCGGTGGTTTTTTCATGGACGCCCCAAAAAAAGAAGACATCTTGGGGGGCGCCAGCGCCATCAGTCGCTGATGGTCCGCCGTTTGGAGGCCACCCTTGTCATGACTGGCCGTGCTTTAGAGCACTGGAGCTCTACAGGGGCCAAGGCCTGAGGGAAGACAGGGAGATTTAAGGTGGATTGGCGAGATGTGAGCAGGCACCCACTTACCTAACCATACCTAACCTGCAAACTAGATATAATGTAACACTAACATGACATAACATAGATTGGCACTGGCACTTGTCAAGAAGTCATGTACTTGAAGCCAACGACTCTTTTCACTGGCGCATGGGGGCATGATCAACATTTATGCTCCACAAGAAGGGGCTCGCTGGAGGCCGGATCCCTCGCAGATCCGAGGCCGATCACGTGGCTTCCCCGATTGCTCACAGGTGGGAGACATCTTGGCCGTGCTGAACCCTCAGCTCTCTTGCCGCAGTGGGGTCGGTGGCCAAGACGAGTCACGAGTCATTTTCTGTGAGGAGACTGGCAGATACCGACGTGGTAGTCGGCGCGGTGCCTGTTGCTGTTGGGCTTGGTGGTGTGCAACGGCTGGAACGGCTGTTTTACTGTTTGGCTGGCTTGTTGCTTGCGTTGTGTTTGGCTTTGACTGACAGACAGACTGGACTTGGAAGCCACAGGGAGAGATAGATAGGAGGCGGAGCCACCTTTAGGGCGAGACTCGTCGCGCCACGAAGCTGTGGAAGCTCGCAAGCACCTGCCATGGCGGCGTTTCACCATCCAAATGTGCCAGAAACAGAGGAGACAATGAAGCGCTGTGACCCGATGGTAGTGTCACCGACTTTGTGTTTGCGTGTTGCACATGTATGCCAATGTGCACCTGGCATATGACAGATGCCTGCTGTTTTCTTGGATTTATGGATTGGTATACCTCCATTCTTACGCGACCCACCGGCTTGTCCTTTGGCTACCATCACGGTGTCTCAAGGTCAACCCTAAACCTTGCAAACCGTTCTGAACTTCCAGACCTGGAATCTATAGAGCTGTGGGTTGTTTGCGCCCCAGTGGTTTTGCTATAGCGCTGTCTCGGGCCCTCCTTGTCGCGCAGGACCCGGAGGTGCCAGACGTGAATAGCGCGCCACCGCTCCGCGGTGAGTTGACGCACGGCAAAAAGGAGGACCACTTGGCACGCTTTGTGTGTTGGACGATTGATGCGGAGGGAAGCCCGCGCCACCCGGGCCGCCCTACTATGTCATGTGAATGCATACATCGATCCACAAGGTATCGGCAGGGCATGGATTTGATATGATTTGATCATTTGGGCAGTAAAGAACAAAAGAATCAACAGAAAGACTTGTTCTTGTGGCTGCGGCCATGCTGATGTTTTCCGGCAGAATCCCGTTGGTACTCTCATCTTGCGCCCAAGGAAGCACCCAACCGCCACGACCTTGCCAGAATTGCCAGAGACATCTGCCTCGTTGCCTTCATCGCCTTCGAAGGTTGATAGGCGGAAACTGTGGATGTTTGGGGTGAGTTATCTTCCTTTGTTTTTTGAATTCTGAGAATGCAATGCTGGAGCTGAAAGAAACCAAAGGACTCCTTCAAGTATCTTCAAGTCGGTACTTTCAGTGGTGTTTCCTCGACAAGCATCGCCCTTGCGGAACCGACCCCCTTTGCAGGAAGAAAGCCAACAAGTCAGCTACCACTCGATCGTTGGGGGCGCCCTCACCGACATCGCCCAACTCAGTGGCCTCGCATGTGGAGGGGCTGCTCGGTGGTTGAGGATGCAATGTCCATATATCGTGATCCCCAAACAGATAGTGGCACGGTGTCCAAGTTATTTTAGTGGGGATCTACGTTTCTATCATTTTCTATCTATTTGGGGGGCCATACTTGTATGACGCATTAGAATTCCATATATATATGTCCCTCACCTACAGTTGCATCATGTGCAGGTAGCCAATGATAAATAAGTATTTTTGGCTGGCACTGGGTTAGTATGTAGTCTAAAAGCCAAACGATGAATGTGTCCATTCGCATTTTCCCTGGCCTGGCTAGTTACTAATTACTACAATGTCTATTGTATAGTAAGACCTTTGAGATCACCATGGACTATGATAGATTGAAAGAAACGATTGCCGTCGGTTGCCGACTCATGTTTGGGCCGGCCAAAAAAGGGAGGTGCTTCGACCTTGCCCCATTGGTTGCCGGTCGAAGTATGTCGAAGTCAGCCAAGGATTGAGGGCCTGTCCGAAAGCTACCGGCTGCTGATTATACGTTTGGTGCAGCAGCGGCTCGGTGGAAGAAAGCCGGCGCAAGAGAAAAGCCCATACCGGCGGATGCTGGTGGGGCGATCCACTTGGCTTCGCCCGGCTTCACTTCGTTTCACTTCCCTGGTTGTTTGGTTTATGATTGGTTTGGTCTCCAAGACCAGTGTTGACATTAATCTTATTAGCAAAGGTTTTGGGCGGTGTATGCATTTGTGATTTCCAGTTGAAAAAACTGGCCATCTTACACTCACCCCGTGTTCTTCTGAAGACGTGCAACCGTGTAATTCGTCGGAGAATGAAAGACCAAAAAAGGCGCTCAGGAAGAATCAGAAGCATGATGAACACATATCGAGACGTAAAAAACCTTCTGGTAGATTGATGCGTCCCCCGTCTACATTGTGTGTTGCACGCTAAACGGGGTGCAGCATGGTGCAGCACACCGGTCGAAACGAAGGCACCTGGAGGAAATGGCCGCCCTGGAGGAGATCCCAGCTGGCACACGAGCCACATGAGTAGCTACATGTACTGGGGAGTTCTCATGGAGCTATGCCTAGCATGGAGGTATGCTTGCTCGGCTTGCTCGTTTTTAGGCCTTGGTGGGGATCTTCAGGTATGTCTGACGACTAGGCCTTGCGTGCAAGGGCTTATGCGCAAGCGCAGTTTGCGTCCCGTCGGGTCAGGTCGAAAGGTGTTTGCAATGCTCGTTTGACGTCCCAAGAGGAACCTACTCGTTTGACACGTCCTATCTATATCTTGGACTCCGAGTCGCTGGTTACGTGGAAAACCTCCACTTTTGAGGGTGGAAAAGGGTCCTGAAGGGCCATGATGGAACTTCCATCATCACTTTCAGGGAGCGTACACGCATGTAAAAAACGCATGTATAGACGATAGTATAGACGATACTGTATAGAGTCTAGAGGCACAGGCACATCCTGCGAACACCCTAAAGACGAGCCCTACGTCTCGCCTGTTTGTTTGAAAACGGTGAAGGACAAGATCAAGCTCGAAGAGTTTGAAAGGCGCTTGGACTACAACATGATGTCGGACACCTGCACGTTAAGTGGTGCCATGGCCATGACACCGAAATTCTATACCAAACAGTCCTGGGTGAGGCTGTAAGGATGGGGGTGGGGCTGTGGTTGGGAGGTAGATTTGGGGACTGGTTTTCGATGTCCATTTTGGGCAAGATGAGTGAAATGATTTGGACATATCCAGAAGAAAAAAAACATCATGATTCATTGGGGTTTGACCCTTCGTAGTGTTAGTGGGCTAGGGGAGTTAGGCAGTTCGTGGTGCACAGATCCATGCCAGGGCTTCCCACCAAGAGCAACCTTTCCTAAAGATTGCAAAATGCCTGATGTTTGAGTTGGGACTGAGCACTTCGCAAATGGTGCCTTTTGCATCCTTTGTTAGTATTGAATTGTTGAATAGCCTTTGGCACACTTTTGCATATCAACGGATGCTGTGCGACGACACCTGAAGACTGATTTTGTGATATGTTGCAACCCGAAACCCTGGTTGACCCAAGTAGTTTATTATGTTCATCTTCGATGGTCAACCAAGGTCCCTGGTTTTGACCTACAGCCATATGTTGTTAGCATGTTCTTGAGTTCCACCATGAAGAAAAGTCTTCTTCGAGTCATGCAAGCAGAAGGCGGGAGCTCATTTGCGCTATTCACTGGTTGTTTCCATTATATAAAGGTGCCGTCCAGGTCATTTCCACTCTTTCCGCTTCGACGTTTGACCCCTTGCCAAGGTGGCAAGTCCGACGAGGTGCGCCGACAATTCGAAAAGATCTCGAGTCGCACTTCGACCTTCGCGAAGAAGCACCGCCGAGAGATCAATGCAGATGAGGCCGGGCCCCGAGTCACCAGGGACCCACGGGCAGACGACGGGTGGTTTCTCGGGATCTCGTTCGACCCGACGACGAACGGGAGAAGAAAGGCGCGTCGAACGGCATTTGGGCGGCGGAAGACCATGGAGCATGGACCTTGGAGCTGCCGCCATGTGGCATTGGAGAGGATAGACCATGCTAGACCTGGATCTTCGAAAACTTGCGAAATCATGCGCCTTCGCCGGAACCAATGCCCTTCACCATCCCTTTACGGCGTGTTGTGCTGTTGCAAGCAACACCTTTTGGTCGGTGGTGACGAGGTGGTGGACCTCCAAGCAGCATGTGCTTGCAACACTTCAACCAGCATTTGTTTGTCCAACAATGCCTCCGGCAACACCGCTGGTTTGAAGATCCAGGTATGACCTATCATGACCTGTTTCCATACCGGAGATGTTGGCCTTCTTCAGCCAACGGAGGAGAAGCCCGCGGGTTCGGCTCGCGACCCGGCCAGGTCCTCGATGCGATGGGCGATGAAGAGGAGATCGAGGAGCTCTTTAAAGCGGATCCATTGCAAGAAGGACCCCACCTTTCCTGGACTGTCTGACCGTTTTTCGGGTGCGAATGTGAAAAAAAAATAGGTCCTTTTTGGCCACTGCTTAGGAATGAACAGATGCAAAGCAGGTCAGGTATCTTGAAAGTTGGGTTTGGAAAGGAATGATGTGCTCTATTTTGCGAGGCGTTCTTGAGATGAGTTGTACTTTCTTTTTGTAACATTATAATATCATTGATAATTGATATGTTTTAAAATAATGTTGACTATTCTGCGGGGTTCTATAGACTCACCAACCAGACAATACCATTTCTTTCCTTGGCAAGGACTTGTGGAAGAATCAGAACCTCACCTAGTGTTGACCAGAGGGGCCAGGTTTGAGGCAGTGCTTTGGTGTTCACTTGCTGCTTGATGCCATGTGCACAGATATCAGTTTGCCTACTTCGCTGATGACAATGAGAATGCTCGCAGTGTTCAATTGAATGGTTCTTTTCCTGAGTATTCGGAACATGTTGCTTTGTTGCGGCAAGGCATGGTTGCAGTCCACCTCCTTCGACATGGTGTCCCTCGGCTCATTTGTGCACACCAGCGTCATAAAAACAGCATCCCAGAGCACTGTGTCTCAATTGCTGCAGATACGGTGCAAGAAGAATTTGCTGGTTGCCCCACAGCGGCACAATCAAATATGACTACCCACCTGCCCATCCACTCTCCCCCCACCATGGCTATATCCGATCCATTCGATTCATTCATGGTGAATTCCCAACTAAGATGTACCCAGGATTGCCGGCATGGTCTTTGTGAACGTCCTTTGGATGGCCCTGAAGTTGCAGATTGATGGCTCCATCACAGGGAATGAGCTCCCTGGCCAATAAAGTGACCCCCAGTTCGGCCGAATGTTTGGAGCGAAGCGGGTGCCCAAGCTGTGCAAATGTCTGGAAGGTGCTTTGCAGTGGGGAAACGATGATGATCGATGATGTGATTGCCCCTACTGAAAGCGGCGATATTTGGGCCCCAAGGGACCACTATAGAGTCCAAAAAAGTGTTGACTATTCGTGCAGTTGCACATGGCAGTGGCAGAGAAATCCACTGGCTGGAAAGGGATCTAAATTACACTCACTTTGTTGGACTTGGGTACCTTGGGCCAACTGTCGCACATGTCACAAACTGCACATACATGCACATACTATACAGATCGTACTGACATTGGAATGAGCCTTGGAAATTCGATCTGGCCGCATTGAGGATGGGCATCTATGCAGACCCTCCAATGAGCAAACAAAGTCAAGATGAGTGGCAGGTGGTCACCATGTGGGGCGATGCGCTTTTTGCAGGCTCGGCCTCTTTCATTGGACCTAATGAGAGGGAAGGCATTCAGTCATTGAAAGCCCTGTGCATCGGACTTTACTCTTCAAGTTGTTCACTTAGGAAGGCACTTTTCACTCCCAGTGGGAGGGACAAGTGGGGCACAAACAGATGACCATTTGTTTGCACGTATGGCTAGCCTTTGTGTAGGTACAATGCATGCGATCATTGGCATGGGCTGGATGCAAACCAGCACATGTCAATTTCCTTGTCCAAAACTGTATACTATCATATACTATATAATACTATATATTTTTTAATATTATGGTTTGAGGTGGTTTTAGCTACTCATGCATGTCCAAGCCTAGAACATGTTGACATACTCCCCGTCGCATGTGCGACACTCCTCGAAACTGCCGGTGTGGGCCAGGCCTTTTTACGTTGGATGTGGGCATCCGGATTGTGATCCTGAGGTGTGGCGGAGCTGAGGGTGTGCCGGTTGTCGTTTAAAGAATCATTCCTGACAGCTCCGAGCCAGTAGCGGCTGTTAGCCTAGGCCTGTAGCGGAGAACCATGTTCTGTGTTGCCGCGCTTTTGTGCGCGCCAAGTCTTCTAAATGATTGGTCCACCTTTTGTTTGATTAAGGATGTGGTCTCATGGCAGTGCAACCTGTTCCGATGCCGGAGGATACGTTGTGGACGGTTCTTATCATATGTATTGCAGTATTGCAGGGCTTCATTTCGATTAGCGCAAGTCTGTTCCTCCCTGATTGAGAGATGAGGCATACCTTTGCTATCCTTTGACAACAACGAATTGTGAAAGTTCACCCTTTCAAAACTGATACCAGGTTACTCAATACATCTCAATACACAATATACAGTCCTTATCTATCCTCATTTATCCTCCATATATCTCCCAAGCGAGGTGGTCCCAACGCGAGGTTTCACTTCTGGAGATTCTGGCTGAATTACGTGGATGTGGCCGTGACGATCGTGTCGATCATGGAGGTGTCCTGGAAGAAGCGACAGCGCAAACGCGCATTTGGCCATCTCGACTGCCCGACCTGTCGACCGCTAAATGGATCTCTCTCTATATATATATATATAGGTTATCGTGGTGGGCACCTTTCCGAATACCAAGGGGTGTGTAACGTTGCACGTTCCCTGATTTGGAAGTGTCAACTCCTAAGATCAGTGATGAACTGGGCGGCTCAACAGGTTAGCCATTGGTTTGAAACATAGTCCCCATCCTTTGATGCTTGGTGTCATGCCAAGGGGTAGAGGAAGTGGAGTAGTAGAACTAGGAGTACTCCATCCATCGTAAGTAGAAGAAGCACTGTGTGGTCTAGGCTTCAGCTGAAAAACATCCAACGGGAGCAGGTTGGAGTCCATTACTATTAGGTTGGAGGATGTTGGAGGTCATCGCTTCTAGGTTGGAGGCCAAAGGCAGAAATTCCAGGTACTGAGCTATTACGCCATCCCCATCAAAATCAATGCGGCCCTCTTCCGGCTGTTGCGCATCGGGAAGTTGGCACGGGCGGTGCGTGCCTGGGTCGAAAACCTTGGCACGGGCGGTGCGTGCCGCTCTAGCGCTCGGTCAACCCAGAGTAGCAACATGTGTTGCACATGTTGATCAACTCATGCTGAGAAAGAGTGGTTTCTTTTGGTGCATGTAAACAATGAACATATAATATATAATACATAAATATATATATATATATATTTAGTTATATATATATATTTCGACTGGATGATGCTTGAAATCGCTTCTTGAGTGGCCTTTGTGAATTGTGGCCAAGTGGTTGAGTCACCTACTTGCCCTTGATCTGGGACATCTATGGTGGGTTGCCCCTCATCAAGGCGTGGTTGGCCCAGTTGTACTCACACACTGTGCTGGGCTTTGCACCGGCGGTTGTGGACTGGCCTGGCCTGGTCTTGGAACCGTGACTTCTGACTTCACCCTCACTACGTGCTCAACGTGTGGACCCCCCGCACCGCTTGCCCCAGATCGCCTGCTGCATGCAGGTGAATCACTTGTAGGCATCAGCGTGAAGCGATCTATACTCCGGATTGAAGCCCCCACTGATACGGAGGGAGTGAGGCTGGTGGCACGCCTATGCCAATTCCCTTTGCCCACCTTTTCCGTCCTTTTCCTGTATTCTTGCTTTCTTTCCACGGGTGCTTTCCACCCCGGTTTCCACACACCACAGCTTGGCCTTGTTTCAGAGATGCGACGAGGACTGTGCCTTCTCTATGGGAAACTTCATGTCCTTTTCCTATACGTGAATGGTGTGCGTGTAATTGTTTGCACGGAGCTATTTTGTGTGTGCCATTGAGGCATGTTGCCGGTCACGAATGCCTTGGGGTCGCTTCAGTTGCTTGTCAAGGGCCTTGTGGCAAGCAGGCATGGAGCCCAGCCAGTTTTGTTATGAAGAAACAGGGCTTTATGATGTGATGCATGGTCCATGAAATATTGGAACCTGATTCAGCAATACAGGCTCCACAATACATGAGTCGTTAGGTTTTTTCAAGGCTGAACTCCAGGGCCGAACAGTAGAGTCACTGATTGCCAGCGACTTGCACCAGTAGGGGAGAAAGATGTTCGTATGACAGAAGATTTGCTCGCAAAACAGCACACTGGTAAGTAGTATCGGCCCATGTTTGCACCCTTGCTTGGACAGGGGTATGCTTTTCTGGAGCTTTTGCCTGCTGACCTTTCTTCAATGTGTTGCTGGGATGATCATCAGCACTTTGTGCCTCCCGGCGTGGAACACATGAGCCGAGCGGCCGGGCGGCTTCGGCTTCAGCTAGCGAAGTCTACCCCGCTGAAGACAAACATGGACTCTGAAAACCACGGGTTTGTAGAGGCAAAATGAGGAAAAAGACCCTTTCGGGGTGCCCTTCTCAGGGTCCATGTTAGTTTCTCAGGGTTCCAGAATCTGGGAGTATACCTTTCTTTTGTGACACGGACATGTGGGACTCGGGCAGCATCAAGTGTGTTGGTTTGGTGTAGTTTGTGGAGGATGCAGGAGTGAGGTGGGGGTAATAGCGCATTGTCACGATTTCATTCAACAGCCTTTGGATGATTTGGATGTTGCACTTGTGGAAGATCACTGATTGTTGGAGAAAAAGCCCGGAATTTGCTCAATGTCCCTCTGCACTTGACAAGAGCCGGGTAATCCATTGTCAATTTGGATTTCATCGTTTCGTCTCCGAGTTTTCGGCTTAGACCTGCCTTTGCAGTGACCGTGCGGGTGAGACGTGTAAGTGGGTTTTGTTGCTTGATCAGCGGGATTGGCCGCCCCACTTGTGCGAACTCCAACCTCCTTTCGCAAGGAACACGTGGGAACTCTGACCTTTGTTTAAATGTGTTTGTCAGCACACTGAACAACTTGAGAAGAGGTCGCTCAAGCCCAAACGCAGCTTTTCTACGACTGCGGCCTATTCAATGCCTTACCCCAAACCCTGTGAGGGTATGTGAGGCTTCGCTCCACCTCGGTCCTCGGTGGATCGTGCCATGGGTGCGGCCTGCTTCCACCGATGCAGTCCGGCGAACTCAGGTCGTGACTACCTTTTGGAGCGCGTGTCGGAAGCGGCGAACTCTGTGGAAGTGCGAGATGTGTGCCATGGCAACGATGTTTGTTGTCCTTTCTACTCACAATCTTCATGAGAGAGCTCAATTAATATCCTTGCTGCACCATGCTGATGAACACATCCACTTAGATCACAAGATGTAGAATAACAATTCATAACTTACCGTTCCTTTTGACCAGCAAAGACGATAGGTTCACACGCTATGGCACCTTCTCCAGAACGATGTTGACGATGTGCCTTGACGGAAGTCGCATTTATGCCATTGAAGTCTTTTGTGCAAGTAGCATGTCCGCGTGGAGCAGAAAGTGCACTACGAAGGCAAGAGTACGAACAAGGCTTGAAGGGAAGGGAAAGGAAAGAGAGAAGGACTGAAGCATTGATAGATGTACAATTAGAATTGCGCCTGTCAAGAGTCAGGTGCCACGACATTCCCATCTCATAACGAACGTATTTGAGAGTCGTTTTGGTTCTAGATTCTAGATGTTTTTGCCAGCAAATTCTTCACCATCACTCATAGTTCCAGTGCCAGTTCCAGTGTGCTACCTGAGTGGGGCGCGTTCGAAAGCAATTGTTTTGCAGAAAACGGCGAGGTTTGAAATATTATTTGCGAATTGGGGCCCGCCGGCGCGTATTTTGGTGGACAATGTCAGCCACTTCGATGCAGACAAGTGGCGGACGAAGACAGGGCCGCCTTTGCGTGCATCGATGGAGGAATGTCATCAATGGCAAGAACATGGAAACGCAGTCTTTCGATGTCTTTCGCAGTGTTTTGTGGATGTTGTTTCGGTTGGAGGCCGTCAAATTCGCCCGTGCAGCCTCCGAAGTCAGGTGAGTGGTATTCCATTTTTTTCCTTCTGTACAGGCGGGGCCGCAACGTTGAATAACGTTGAATACTCTCCCGAGGCCGATGCCCCTAAGAACAGCTATAGAAACGCATCAGGAAATAGAACTTTCATCAATGTGGGTTTGGTAGCTACTCACTCCCATTATATAGAGATGCATATTGTTTCACATGTTGGCCTGCTCACACATGTTCTCTTCTTGCTTGCAGCTGCAGCTATTTACAGGATTACGTTACCTTGCAATCATTGCAATCAGGAGTTTGGACCCTGCCACTACCTTGCAACACGACTTTCCAGTCGTGTGCCACCATGTCCAGCATCGTAATTAGGGCCGTGTTCATCATCCACTAGTTGGGTCCGAGTTTGCTTACTCGATCGATGCTGCAGGTGTGTCTTAGGCTTTGCCGTGATCAATGTGGTCAACGCAACGCGGCAAAAGTGTGGCATGTTTCTCATTGGCCCCCTGTCCCTTCTCACCATCAGACGTGGAATCCCTCAGATTGGGTCAAATTGTTTTTTTGGTGTGTTTGATGCCTTAATGGTTTTTCCTGCAGGACTTTTGAATACTTTTGAGTCACCTTTGCCAAAATGGCCGAGGCGATTTTTGTGCAACAGACCTTGAAGACAGCCAGTTCTGATGAAGAGCTCTCCTTCAGACAGACCCCTGGCAGCCTGTTCCATGCCGTATCGTCACTGGCTGGACCTGATGTCGTCCTCTTCGACTTGTCGAATCGATCAGAGACGTGTGGCTTACATCTTGCTATCTTTCTTCTGTCGGTACATACGATGACCAGTCGGTGACCTGATGTTACGATCTTCTTGTTTTTTTTCCGTGGTTCTTTCTTGCTGGGCAAGCAGAATGCCAAGGAAAGAGAAAGACATCCAGCTGTATGCCAGCAAGGCAACGAGTTCGGGCAACATCAAAGCGCTGTCGCGTTTGGGGCGTTCGTCTCACAAGGAGCATTCCAAGTTGAGGTTGGGTTTTCACAAGTGGACAATATAAACAATTGAGACATCCCTACCACCTTAGAAGAAAAATTGAGGAGGACGTACCGTCAGTTGTCTTGTGAATAGCCAATCACACATGAGTATGTAATTTCTTAGGTCCAGGGAATTCAAGGGAAGGTGGAGCATGGTGGACCATGATTTCGAGTGTCTAGCCTAACCCTCGCCATCAGGGTGGCTCAGCAACAACATGCAAACAGCACAATCAAGGTACGTTGCCAGGTGCTCCGGATGTTCTTGTTCCAGCCGCCTGAAGATTCAATTGCCCCAAATTTTGACAATGGAACTATTGTTTCCTTTGCCCAGCAGTGGCTTTCATATCCAATGGTCACAACTCCTGATAGCTCTAAAGAGCCTTAAAGACTTTCATGGTGGAACACGTCAAGATCTCTCCGGGTCTCTTCAAGATCTCTCCGGGTCTCTTCATGCTCAATGCAGAAGGGTGGCTTCTGAAGGTTGTGAAATAGTAGCGAAAGGCAAGTTTGTGGACGAATATATAGTAGTGAAATAGTTGTCACCACCAGAAGGCAGTAGCGCATCATCATGTGGATCGCACAGCACCGTTGGTGACCTCAGATCAGATGAGCACTCTACTATTGACCTCTGATTGTCCCAATGGGTTGGGCTTTAAAAATATGCTCAATATTGTTGAGTTCTGTTGAATACACCACAAGAGGTCAGGCACAACTTCTGTAGTCTTAATGTGGGTACTTCCAATCGATTCAAAAACTGCCTCACAGAAGGTGACGTTTAATTTCTTCAAACGAGGACAGAGAAATACACATTGACCCCCCCTCCTAGGTGTCAGTCCACTAGTAGATGGTGACCTCTAGGTTTGTCACTCAAGGTAGTAAGGATATTGAGAGTAAGAGTGCTGGGCCATCGCAGGGACCGGACTCAACATACGACAGCCTAGCCTTAGCTGTTTGAGCTGTTACTGTGACACTTGGTTTTTTCTGTCGGCTTCACCCTTGGAGTCCTGACTCGACCAACGTCTTCCTGCCAGCTGCTTGAGCTCCCTGCTTGTCCATCGGCGCAAGGTGAAGAAGCTCTTCCAAACGATGGATTTCTCTGGGGATGGAGCTATAAACCTGGAGGAGTCTCATACCACAATTCAACAAATTCTTTCATACCTGTTTCTATGTTGTGTTGTTTCTATTAATCCAAAGCGGCCACTGGGCAACCACTCGGCTGACGCAAACAGCCCCCCCAAAAAAACAAGCGTTTGGAGGGTTGCACCTGGTGTGTTGGCGAGATGCACGGAATTTTCAGGCGAACTCAGTGGCTGGGGGGTTGTATGGAGTTGATTTGAATTGGCGATTCGGGTGTAAGAAAGGCATTCGCCGACTCGCTGACCCCAACTTTGTGAGCCGAGTGAAGCACTTGTTTCGCGACGAATTGATGTTCCGACTGGAAATATACCTTGGGTTTGTCCCAGCAAAACCTGTAACAGACGTTGGTAAAGTTAAAACATCACTGTTTTAGAGAAAGTCCGGCAATTGAACCATCATCATCCAATGGGCCTTGGCAATGGCATACCCAAGTTAAACCCTTATTCTCTCAGGAAGATTTTGGCAAGTGCACTGTATCAGCACTGTCGCTGGGTAGAAGGGGGACAACCCAAGTACCAACTACCTGTTTGTTTTTTCCTGATAAGATCTTTGGCAAGATGTCTCTGAATCAAATCACAGGCTGCTTAGTGAAACATCCAGTCACACTGCGCATGCATCGCGTGTTTTATATTGTTTCTTTCTATGCGTGTCAGAGAATGCTCGGCCAATATGAACAGATTGGACTGACTTTAACTGTTGACCCCTCAGGAGTTTTCGAAGCTGGTGAAGTCACCCAAATTGAAGTTTTGGATGAGTGCCTCGGGCGAAGTTTGCAGATGCGCGGTAGGTTATGAAGAAACCCAACGGCAGGTGATGCTGTTCACCCCGAAATCTAGTTGCGATGGGAATTAGTATGAAACAGAGGACAGCTTTACTCCAACAGCAGAAAAAGAATCAGGACGAATCCTGAAGCTCCAAACACATGTTTGATTCTTCTTGTGTGTTTGGGGTGTCCCGACCCGCTGCTGTCGGAGCGTTTGCGGCCAAACGCCAGGGTCTTGCAAAGCTGATTTGGTACTTAAAATGCCAACGAAATAATTTAACACTGGCGAAGTGTTCAAGGCCCTGCACGGCCTCACTCATTAGATCTCATTAGCGAGGAAAATGACAATGAAGGATGACTGCTACCGCACAGTAGCCCTAAAGATCGATCAGCAAGCTGCAAGGTAGCAAAGGTGTGGCTTCACGCAGTTTTTTCGCAAGGCCAACTCGAACTGGAGTACCACGACTTGCTGAGCCTCTTCGAGTTTCTGGACAATGGTCACTTGGTTCGAGTTCTTCGTGTTCGTTGGTCACCCTCGAGTTCTCCACAGGACCGTCCACGTGAGAGGAGTCCACACCGTCACTGCCCCTCTGACAACCCTAGAATTGCCAGAGAACCTTTCTCCGCAGATGGACGGAGACGGAGAATCCGGGCCTTTTCTGTTGAATACGCGGGTGGAAGCTCGATGTTCAGTCCAACTGGCGGCCTAGAGTCCTAGAGAGGCGGCACGAGAGGTGGATGTAAGGGTCCCTAACAGGGGTGTTGCCGGCGTTTGTGCCAAGCCAAGGCGATGGGCAAATCACTTTGACCGAGTCTTGGATGGACCACTATGCCAGATCCGATGGAAGTATATAGGTCATGAAAGGACTTGGGGCGATCGTACCCCTTGGATATCCTTGGATTGGAGGATTGACATCAGTTGATGAGGGGAAAACTGCTCGCTTCAAGTCCCTTTTTGTCGGAGTTCGAAGGTTGGAGTGCTTGGGGAGGGTGGCCCCATGCGATTCATCTTCTGGCAGTTTTTGAGACCCATATAAACTACGTTTTGCGCAGACGGGAGGCGCCTAAGCTTAGGCTACGACAGGTGCCCAACTTATAAACAAAAGACGGGAAAAGAAAGGAAAGGGACACGTCAAGCAAATGGAAGGATACTGTAACTTTTTTGAGCATCAAACACCCAACCTCTCAGCTAGTCGCATTTGCCAATGACTTTCATCAAGTCTTTCAGACACACGGAGAGACAAACACCCAGGAAAAAAACACATCATCAAACAGGCTCAAAGTCTCCGCTGCCTCTCGCTTGCTCGTCCGTCCCATGCGGGCTATCTCTTGACCTCTGGGGGTTTTACTCGGACTCGTGCTTCGACCACCCGCCCTCCGCCGCTTCGACCACCGATGGTGGCACCGATCCCAAGGAGTTCATCGAGGGCGCCGCAAGGCTCCGTGGTGGAGCCAAGGCGCTGGACATTTGGCGCATCGCGCCTCGGTCGGGAGGGCGGTAGGGAGGGGGAGAGAGGAGGTCACGTGGTTTGTGAGATGTCCGGACCATCCGATGTCGAAGATGCGATAAATCATAACAATCTATTTTACAAGTACCTGTGTTAAGTCGTTTGGTCTTGTGGAAAGTTTACCATGGGGTCAGATGCAAGATGGCATACAGGAATAAATACAGTAGTACACTCTATCGAAGATGCTGTACATAGACTCCAAGAAGGTGCTATAAATAACTTATCAAAAAATATATAATATACATCTTCAAATGTGTCGAGGGGTGGTGCATGGGTGCATCAAGTGTTGATGAGGATCAGGGAGGTGTTCTTTTGGAATCAGATTGACTTGTGGGCAAAAAACAGCACTTGCTGAAGGTCTGAAGGCAGGATGTGGGTGTTTGGTAGCGGGAAGGTGTTCCGCCATGTTCCAAACGATGTTCTCCTGACCTTCCACCAACCATCTAGACTTTTGATGGCTACCTCGCCAAGGAGACCAAGTTGGAAGTGCTTTTCGAGGAAGTGCTGAGCATCATGAAATGCTTCAAGGCTCGGTGGTGTTTCCCCACCGACCGCTTGGTCGAGCGACGCCGATCAATGCCGATATTGACAACCGGCCGTTGATCAGGATGAAGATGTGAAAGAAAGCAGACGTATGCCCACCCTACAAGCTGATGTGGCATATTATAACTATAAAGTTTTTTGTGACATCCATTATCCAACAACAGTGCAGAATGAAGATTGCTCAAGCATTCTGGACACGGACATTGCGGGTATGAATACGGCATGGCACAAACACGTGTTCGTTTCCAGGAGACATATTTTTCCTGGCCTGATCAATTGCGTCGGTTTCTGATTTGTGTATCTCACTGTATCTCTTGCTTTGTGTGTGTGCCACCCAGCCAAGTTTCGGTGATGTTGCGCAATTGGTTTTTCGTTGTTCAAGAAACTCTTAGCAAATCATTTTGCAAAATTGTTTGCCGCATTCAACGAAACACGCGAGGGGATTCGTTCATCCAATTTCTAGGGAGCATCGGAGTCTCCAATTACGGAAGAGTGTTCATCCCTCCTTGCAAGTGTTGTTTAAAACTGTATGCATTTCCAAGCCTGAGTCCGCTGGCCGTGGACCAGGTAGAGAAAGGAAGCCGAAGGCCCAGCGTTCAATCGAACAAAGAGGGCGAGCCGATTGCCTCCGGGTCCCAGTCCATTGTGCAGGAGAGGCGGTTTATGGCGGTTTGCTAGTTGAACTCATTGACAAATTGGGCCGGACCCTTGTATATTCCAAAGTCTACGAATAGTAATGACAGCAAGGATATTGGAATAGACTTGGAAAAACATGCATATTCCCTCAAAACCCCAAGGCCTATTCAAAAAAGGTCTTTCGTTGCTTGTATAGCTGAGCCCATTGGGGGGGAAATCCTCACGACGGGCCGAGCTATATCACTTAAGGCATCCCGCGGCATCTCCCATCACTGGATTTGTGCATACCTACCCTGTCAATGACTTCAATGGGCCGAGGATGGCGGCTCTGTCTTCCCACATGGGCCGAGCCAAACTTCAATGGTCGGATCCTAGCTGAGCCCATCCTAGATAGGCCGAGTATGTATAATTAATATGGCTTATTCTTCATCCAAAGTTTCCAAAGCCTACTACGTGTTTCCATCGTTCTTGTTTGGAGAACACGAGTTTGCTGTACGGTCGTTTTGCTGGATTCAGATCATGCAGCTTTTTGGCCAGGACGTGTTCAACAACTCTTTGTACCGGCACATTCAAAGCACATCCAGGAACAGGCAAGGCACAAATGAAGTGGTTGCCCTCACGATCTGTTCATGGCATACTCAGGCTGCGCATCAGATTTGATCCCCCTTGCACAGGTCCTTATGAAATGGGGATCTTAGTAACCTATAAAATGACTTTTATGGGGGGTCATTTTATAAAGATCACTGTGCTTCCGAAAATCGGAATTTCAACAAAAAAGCCTACTTCTTGCGGCAAACTATTTCATAAGAAGGTCGGTTTGGCTCCTGTGTACATTTTATAAACAGTGATTCTTTTTTAACATAGAAACAGCTGGGACATGGTTATTCATGTTATAAACAAGTAAGGATGTGAGAGAATAGAATCATGCTGCAGATGGATACTCATTTTATAAAACACAAAGGGTTGTGTCGGATTTCGGAAGTTTCTGGATTTTTTGATATGTTTGCCAATGGATTTAATAGTCCTTGGCAGGGGAAAACTATTTTATAAACCATTCCCTCTGCCAAAGAGCTGGAGGGTGTGGACAAATACGATGTGCCTTGGGAGGAGAAAAGGGTTTA